TTATTTTTGAAATGGACAGGATTTTTTAACTTTTATTTTGTATCTACTGTGCGGCTTGGACGCGGCATCCGTCAAAAATAGGCGAATGTACTTAGAATCGCAACGAATGAAGGCATGTATGAGCCTCCCTCAAGACACACCATCACAAGAAGAATACACGAGTTGTGTGAAAAAGATTTTTTAATCTGATTACATTAATGTTTAAGTTGAGATTTACAATAAATATTTTAACTGCTACTATGTAAAGGGAATACTGCTGTAAAAATGCACCTTATTAGTTTAGTGTTTGCAAACCAAATGTTATTGCACTTTTGTTCATACAGCAGTACTTTTAAAATAAAATACACTACTTTTGAATTCATTATTGAATTTTGCGCATAATGCGATTTTTGCTCAGAACTAATTAATTTTTTCTAACTCCAAACAATTGGCCACCAATTGAAAACAGCTGATAATCACTTCCTTTGATTCAATACATCTCGGAACTTGACGCTCACAAAAGTGGATTACATTTTAATGATGAAAAAGATGCACACATGCTCACACAGTGAGGCGAATATGAAAGGCTGAGTGGCGCTGACAGTGTCTCAGTCTCCACTGGGCTAGAGTAAAATAATAACATGGTTTCAAGGTGTGTAGCATTTAAACTACTTTATTAAATAACTCCTGACCAGTCGGCACTAACAGTGGCTGCTGTTCAATACTGCAATACTGCAACTCTCTTCTAAGCTCTTCCCTCTCTTCATTAATGGGCATTGACTTGCATTTTTAAAAATTATTTTATTATGTTCCTTAAGGTTAACTTATAATGTTAATAACGTTTTTTTTGCACAAAAAAACAAATAGGTAAACGTACCTATTAAGCTCACGTACCCATTAAGCACACTTCCCTTTTTGAGATCAGATTATAAAAAGAAAAAAAGAATTTATTATCCTACTTGATGTCTTAGCCAATTGATGTGTTTGTTACTACATACCTCCTGTAATTTCAAGTCAGTCAGATTATTGCACACTGAGATATGGGTCTCCGTATGTTCACACTGTCCGGCGGCCATTTTGAAAGCTGTCTAAAAACTTTCACCAAAAGAGGAGCCCCTTAAATGTGTGTTTTTTAGACGTTTAAGCCTTTATTTTGGGTAAGTTTCACTACTTACTGTAAAATTAAGAGATTAATGTTTAGACTTTTGCATATAATAACCTAGAACGTGGATGTGGGAAATAATTACATTAGATCCAAAAGATAGTTTTAGCAGCATAGCGCAGATGCTACAGAACACAGTTAGCTGACTAGCTGTATAAGATTGTGTGCTACGCTAATATATTACTTCACAGTCATTACTGGCTTGTACTTTTACATCCATAATATTATAAATTGACAGTTTATTGCTGGTCTGTGGTTTTACAATGCTGTAATTTTTTAAGATTTCATATTATTTTAAGGTGAGTTTAAAGGGTACACTACTATGAAAATCACATCGTTTCAGTGTGACATCAATAAGAAAAAGTATAATTTCATAGATTTTGTTAATAATAGTTGTTCATATTAAAATATGTATGAACTTAATAAATGACCTAGACTATTTATTTAGCAAAATCCTGTCATTTTAATAAATATTACATGAAATTTATTACAAATTGTTGCTACTCCAATTAAGCTCAATGTGGCCTCTTTAAGCTCTTCCACATTGAATGTCTATGTAAATACTTCAGAAACATAATTTAAGTATTAACTTAAAGTGACAACCATCAGTTAAGTTAATTGATTTTCTATAGATTCTGTCAACTCAAATCTGCAGACTGGCTCTGGCCTTTGGCAACTAGCATCAACTTCTCCAGACTATAAATCTGTGGAAAATCAGGGCAAAAATCATGTAGTGTATTCCAGCCATAAGAGAGTCTAGATAAGTTGACATCCATTTAAAAAGAGGTTTCATAATGAAGCTAGTTTCTGTGTTCATCCCCATGAATTTAATGTTTTATTGGTGTGTTTTAATTGATTTTTGAATGTGTTATTTAGCTGAACATGGACTAGACTAGATGTTGCAATGTGCTTAAAATAAACAAGAATTTTTAATAAAACATGATGTGAGCTTAATGGGAACAGGGGTGTGCTTAAAGTGTACAAACATGTACCCATTAAGCACAGCCAGACTTTTTTAATTTAATTATGTATATCTTAATTGAAATGCTTTTGTCATTACACACAATATTTTTGTGTGAGAGAATTTTATTTTAACATAACTTTTTGTACTGAAACCAATATCTTGTGCACTAAAAATGTCTCAATGTAGATTTTGGTGAGCTTAATAGGTACATTTACCCTATATATGTGGGAAAAAAATCTTTTCAACCCTCATTGTGACCCTCTGTCTAAAAATGATCTGTTTTTAAGGGATGGGTCCTTTAAGACTGGTCAGTAATCGGTCACCGTTTTGATTGGCTAACGTCATTGCATACGCAACAGTATCAACGCCCCCTTGCTATTTCACGTAAGTGTTTTGACAACATGATCCATATACGTCATTTACAGACAAAGCATTATGATTATATAATTTACTTACGGTTTGCGATGCAGCTGCTGTCAAATCCAGTACCACTTCATCTTTCAACAAAAGGTTATTTGAGAACTCTCCATTACACTGTGCCTCATTTACAAAACAAAATGCTCCAAACAAACATATAGTCCTCCAACACGATCTGGGTTGCCATGAAAATAAACCATCACTTGTTTCTGATGCTGGGATCTTTCTGAAGTCTGTGCAGAGATGCGAAACAGCTGTTTAAATCAAACACGTCAAAGCAAACTTTCTTTCTCTCTTCCATTTGTCCTATTGTCGACAGACTCAAGTGCGTGGTCTATGTCAGAAAGTGAATGCGCATCTATATACTGTATCCAGTGTAGACAAGACAGTGGTAGTTATTTTAAAGGGGTCATATGATGCGATTTCAAGTTTTCCTTTCTCTTTGGAGTGTTACAAGCTGTTCGTGAATAGATAAGATCCCTGAAGTTGCAAAGACTAAAGTCTCAAAACCAAAGAGATATTCTTTATCAAAGTGAAGACTCTGCCACACCCCCCTAAAATGGCTCGTTCTAACACGCCCCCACATATCTAGGTCACTATGTGGGAATATTTGCATAATGCACCCAAATGTGCACGCAAAGAAAGAAGGCATGGTTTCAGTAACCGCAGTTAGTGTTGATGCAGCATGTCAGGGAGACATTGTGTGTTTCTAGGCGAAAGCAAAAGCACTTTATTTGGCCTTCCGAAAGTAGATGCATTTAGGAATCTTTAAGATTACTTATAACAGAACAGCAATGCATTTTATGGACAACAGTTTCATAAACCTAGGAGAGGAGGTAATTCTGACTTTTCTATGGCAATCTGGTGCTTCTGAATCAGCTACTGTAAGTATGTTTTGTTACTAGTTTAAGTATTTGCTATTGACTGTTCAAATGCGGAGTTTTGCGCATCGTGTGTGGGTGTGTGTGTGTGTGAGAGAGAGAGAGAGACAGCGTCACATCACAGTGGAGTCAGCTGTCTTAACCGCAGCTTGTGTACTGGATCATTACTGTGTCTGTTCCCCTTTCGGGCTTGAACTGATGGTAAAACTAATGACATTATTTACTGTCTTTACATTTATTTTGAAAGATGAAGCTCGCGATTATGGTAAGGGGCGTTACATTTCTGACAAGTGCTTGCGGTGTTCGGCCAGTCACAATGTACTGGGTCTATACAATAATGTACAGTATTTGAAAAAGAATGTGTTTTTTGAACATTAAAGCATGTCAACATATTCTGTTACACCAAATACACAAAATAATGATCTTTAAAAAAGCATCATATGACCCCTTTAAAACATTTTAAAAATAAAGGTGACTTGACCTGACTTGACATGGAATGACAAGCTGGACTCAAAATGTGTGTGTGTGTGTGTGTGTGTATAATTTAACCATGAAACTTGCATTAGTATTTAAAATTAAGAAATACATTTGCATTTGTAGGTTTTACGGTATGAATGAATTGCAGTTGCAAGTTATTGCTTTCAGTTCATAGTGTCAACAATCACAAGCAATACTGTTGTTAGGTAAAGAAGGTACTTTTTGGTGCAAAAACTTTACAAACTTTATAAACTAACCTTGAGAAACATAATATAAAAATCGGAAAATGCATTTCATGAGCATCATGACCTGTGATCAGTGTAATTTGCAAGGGCTCATGTACAGATGTGTTTTGTCGCAAAGTGGTTTACTGCTCTCTATGCATTAGGGAATCAAGCCAGTGACTAAACGATAAACTTCACACTGTTCTTTTCTTGATTTGTGATTATATACTGAAAGCGATCAAAGATCATTCTCTTTATAATCTTTGGAGCAGACAGTTCAAAATCAACGCAAGTCTATCAATGATTTCTGCATTTTCTTCCATTATAATCAGACTATCTTATTTACATTGTCTTTTCACTGTGTTGGTTATGATGAAATCATGAGATTGCAGAAATTGCACTGCAATAAGCAGATTATTGCATCATGTGCTCAGTAGACATGACTGTGTTTGGCTACAGCGCAGCTGCATCATTTGATGCAAAGGGTATAGGTCTAAATAGAAAGCTATAATCAACACTTCAAGATTAGAAAATCTTGCTGGCTGTTATAGTAAATATGCAGTAAAAGTTTATATATAAAATTATATGTAATGCTCATTTCATATGCAAGGATGTCAGCCAATCATAGCAGTGGTTGTTTACATAGACGTCTCACAGCAGACACACCACTTCCAACAGATTGTTCAAATCAGAGGCTAAATTCTGGGTAGAAGATGACCATTTATATGTTTATACCATTTATATAAGTTACGACTGTTTTTTGATTTTTGATTAAAGAAACATACTAAGATTATAAGTGCACCTTAGGAAACATTATAAAATAATTTAAAAAATGCTTTGCCATTCTGATGTGAAATAAACTGAGAGAGTGAAGAGTGTGTCATTGTTCTCTGCAGGTTGAAGAAGTGTGATTTCACAGGTAACGGTTGTGCTGCTCTGGCTTCAGCTCTGAGATCAAACCCTAAACACCTAAGATATCTGAATCTGTCTGGGAATAAACTAGGAGATTTTGGTGTGAATCAGCTCGCTTCTGGACTGGAGGATTGTGAAGTGGAGAAACTAGCGTAAGATCATCTCTCTGATAGTCTCACATGTCTTTGTCCTCAGTAAGATGTGACCTATAATGTGAACTCTAAAACTAAAATTATTCTTATATTGTACATTAAGACTCATATCTCTGTTGAGGTAACCACAATTCTATTCAGTTTATAATCTGCCACATGTTACGCAGTAATGTTCACAAGAGTTATTTGGAACATGTGGGTCCTGCAAACTGAGAGAGTGAAGAGCGTGTCATTGTTCTCTACAGGTTGAGATATTGTGGTCTCACAAATAAAGGTTGGGATGCTCTGGCTTCAGCCCTGAAATCAAAATCCTCTCACCTGAGACACCTGGATCTGTCTAAGAATATGCTAAGGGATGAGGGTGTGAAGCTTCTCTGTGCTGCACTTAAGGATCCTCAGTGTAAACTCGAGATACTGGAGTAAGTTAATCTCTCTGATAGTCCCACATATAAGAAGTGTCCTGTAATGAGCTTCAGTTGCTTCTGGTAGTGTGATTAATATCGAACTTTTAGATAAACATTAATGTTCAAAAATAGTGAGTCAAAGCCTCTGTGACTTACTGCAGAGGATGACTAACTCAGATGTTTAGAGCTGAACAGACAAGAGCCTAAATATGTTTATCATTACTATAGTGATCAATGGTACAGTGAATGAAGGTTATAATCAGTTTAGCTTTCAACATTATCAGACCCTCAAAATCTTTAAAACAAGTTGTTAAATACAGTAGAATGAACCAACATACTGTATAGAAATGCATATCTGTAAGAATCAACACACTGGTTTGCAGGAGCAGCAGAATTTCAGACTTTCTCCTCCATCAGCATGTTCCTTTACTTCTTATATCCAGAGAAAAGCATTATTTAGGAAAGAAAAGTTGATTAAGATGAAATATAAACACCAAAGACCATAAAGCTGGAGGTAAGTGGATGATGATCTGGAGGAAGAGAAGCTCATTAACATGAAAGATTATAGCAATAGTTCTTACGTTTGTATCCAGTTGGCCCAACAAAGGTATCCAATGGTGGCTGAAGGTTTCCTGCGTCTTTTCAATAAGTAACTAACACTGAGTGAACTGAGTGAAGGGAAGGATGGATAGGAAGTAGGGGAGAAGGAACAAATGTGACCCTGGACCACAAAACCAGTCTTAAGTCGCTGGGGTATATTTGTAGCAATAGCCAAAAATACATTGTATGGGTCAAAATTATTGATTTTAATTATATATGCCAAAAATCATTAGGATATTAAGTAAAGATCATGTTCCATGAAGATATTTTGTAAATTTCCTACTGTCAATATATCAAAACTTAATTTCTGATTAGTAATATGCATTGCTAAGAACTTCATTTGGGCAACTTTAAAGGCGATTTTCTCAATATTTAGATTTTTTTGCACCCTCAGATTCCAGATTTTCAAATAGTTGCATCTTGGCCAAATACTGACCTGAATTGTCCTGTCCTAACAAACCATACATCAATGGAAAGCTTATTTATTCAGGTTTCAGATTATGTATAAATCTCAAATTCGAAAAATTTACCCTTATGACTGGTTTTGTGGTCCAGGGTCACAAATGTGAAGGAAGGACAGGTGAAAAACAAGCGTTCCCGCATCTCTCCGAGGCGTGTGGAAACAGATGCCTGTATTGTTAATACACTGTGTTTGTATTGTCCATATCTCATGAGAGTGTCTGAGGTTCTTCCAGCCTTAGACATTGTACATTAAGACTTTGAATATCTATACTGAGTTCATCACATTCCTATTAAGTTTATAAGATGCCAGATGAGGCCAAATATGGCACAATTATCTGTTTGATCACAAGAGCTAATAAATGACATGCAGTAGGGAAAATGTGGGTCCTGTGAAGCAGTAGGTGTTTATTAGAGGTAAGTGACTGTTTCTCCAGACAGATCCGTCCTTTTATAACTATGAAACAATATCTCACATTCAACTCTTGTGTCTGTTCAGTCCTGAAGCACATGACAGTTTCAAACAGCAGCACTGAGCATAAATCTCATTCTATCAGCAGCAGTATGTGGCAATGCTTGTCATTATATCACCTCTCCTGCTCTGAGATCAGAGTGAATGACAAACTACAGACACTAATATGACAAATTGTGTTGTTTTTCTCTAAAGGTTGAGGTACTGTTGCGTCACAGATGAATGTTGTGCTCCTCTGGCTTCAGCTCTTGAATCAAACCCATCACACCTGAGAGAACTGCATCTGAATGGGAATCATCTTGGACCTTTAAAAATGAGGATTCTCAGTAATTTCGTGGCTAATCCCATTTATAGACTGGAGAAACTAAACCATTGTGAGTATACTTTTATTTAGAGCCTTAGGTTAAGTTTAGTAAGGCCTCTTAAGTTTAGTAACAGTCCTCATATGTACGTAATTGGAGAATATAAGATAATTCGTCTCCACTTTACTCTCTGTATATTAAACTGTCGTTTAATAAGAGTTTCTGTTATGTGCTTGATCTATGAATATTTTCATCTCATTTTATTCATCTCTCTGTGTGTACGTGATGAGTGTTGTTGATTATTTAATACAAAGTTCTGTCATGAAACTCTAGATGGTGCAGGCTGATAGGTCCTTAACTCAATCTGCTAGTAATCTTTTATCAAGTCTATTCATTCATTTCAGCAGAATATAATTAAAATGTTACATGTTAATAGCCAAATTCCCCAACACATCTACTGTACTTACGCGACATTGATCACATTTCAAATAAGAAAAAACTAATATAACCAAGGCCAAATTATGAGAAACAGAAACGATTAATTCATTGCTTCAGGCTATGCAGTCTTAGTTTCCCTCACCTCACGTCCCCATAAACTGAAGTTATGCAGTCTGTACTGGAAATAGAATCGATTAGTTCACCTTTTGAGTCTAAGGGTTTGAGTCGTTCATTCAGCTAAAACTATGCAGTCTGTACTATAAACATACAATTAGTTCATCTCTCAAGTCTTCGGGTTTGAGTCATTCGTTCATGCCTTGACAGCCCCATAGGCTATAAGGCTATACAGTCTGTAAACAAAATCGATTAGTTCATCTCTCGAGTCTTTGGGTTTGAGTTATTCGTTCTTTTGTCATGTGCCCGCTTCCCAGCTCAGTAACAAACCCAAACATTACATATTATTAACTGTATTTTGTTGTTATAGCCTATTAGGCAACTTTGCTTTATGAAAGTGATTTTACCCTATCATACAGATACAATTTAAAGCATTAACCAACTCTTTATTACCACATTCAATGTCACAAATGTATACATTGTAAGAAATAAAAAAGCTACAGTTTGAGACCATAAACGCATCACGTAACTGTAAGAGTTAAAAACTGACTATGCATGTTTGTAAGGAAGGTTGGGAATTATTAAAGTTTTATTTCAATTGCAATTCATTTATATGCAATTCAGAGAATTGTTTCTAAACACATTATAAATGTTAGAAATGTATTGCTGAAACACCTTACAAAGACTGTGAACTATGTAGTACTGAATTGTGGAGTTAGACCGTTAAATAGTTTTTCGCCATTTTTGTGTTCAGGATTTTTTGGGCGGGGCTGGCATCAGTACTTTGATGTCATACACCGATCGGTCTGCGCAGTGCTGTTTCAAGTCAAACACACCTAATAACTAGATCACATTAGCATAAGTGGTTTGTACGCTCAATCGCGAGTTACTGTCATTACCGTTAGTTAGGCTGCTACCGCCTACAGTTTGCTAGCTAGCTTTGCCTTTGTTATGTGAATGCATATTACCTGGTTGCGATAATTTACAAAACAGCTTGTTCTCCTTAAGCTGCTAGAGTGAGCATCCATTCAGGTTGTAGCGGTATTTGACAGTTGAGAGAGACGGCAGCTTTCCTGCGAGAGGGCGTGATTTCAGCACCAACAGCGGACACGTCCCCAGCGTTTGAGAGCAGAGAATACTGTTTATTTTTTCAAGATTTCAAGATTTTTCTTTTTTTATTTACTTGGCGTTTTTTATCATTTAAATTTGGCTGGGTGGTTAATAACACTTTTTTTCGGTGGTGTGACAATCTCAGAACACATATTTAATATTGCTTTACACAGACTTTAACAAATTTCTGTAGCCAATACTCGAGAGGTGAACTAATCATTTCTCTATCCGGTAGCGTCTTGACTATGGGGCTGTCACAGGATGAACGAACGACTTGAACCCAAAGACTCAAGAAGTGAACTAATCATTTCTGTTTCCTGTAAAAAATTAATAGGATATTCTTTACAGGAAACAGAAATTATTAGTTCACCTCTCGAGTCCCCCCACCCCCAAAAACGCAAACGGACCAAGGGGGGCCCCACTTCCTACCTCGCACTGGGCCCCTCCCCAACTTGGGACGGCCCTGCGCATACATAGTCAACACGAAATGAACGAATCCCTCCCCGATTTCCCCGAGTCATATGAAAGATTGAACTACACATCACTATTTGCTGTGGCAATTTGCGGCGTGCTTTTACAGTTTTTTACAGTTACAGTCTTGCATTTGATTCAGGAATTAATGACTAAACATAAGCAGCAGCGTTGCACAACTGTGTTTACTCAGCTGCAGCAACAAGCGGTCTGTTGGACTATCATACTAATTGTTGTAAAGATTCGCCGACTTAGCTACAGATATGAGAACAGGTTTAAGTGAAATAAGTATTCGCCCTGTATACATTTTCAACCGGGGTTTGGCATATTTGGCTATTTCAATGACAAGTTAATTTATTTTCAAGGGCGACGTTTTCCTTCCCTATGCTAAATGTGCATGGTTGATTTCAGCTGCTCGCAGTGTCAGAGTCCTGTTAATTATTCATTGTTCCTAAAGACTTTTCAAAAATGCCTGTTTCTGTACATGGCCTCTATCCTTTATATTAACAGCAAGGACTGCAATAGAAATAAGCCAATGGCTTTGTTTTTTTATCCTCAACAGTTTTTTAAAGTGTATGGGATACTTCTTATTTTGTACAGTTTGTAAAGTTGTCAAATAAATTTAAATTCAATTTCAATTCAATACTATACAATCAGAGGATAAAGGGTTATGTCAACAACAATTATCGAATTACTTTAAATTATGATTCCTTTAGAGGTGTTTGCTGCCTTTTTTTCTTATCTCTATCAGCTTCCAATGTATATCTATTTGATGACGACACATTCTAAAAAAGAATTAAGCCATTCGGCATGGTAGCACAGGCACACTTATTTTAAATCACTAGAGCTGTAGCAGCTTGTTTACACTCAGCAGCAAGCATGTTTTGGCTTGTATTGTCCATTTCTGTGTCTCCTGCTTTGTTGGGGGGTTATTTCATATGTTATATGTGCAGCAGCAGTGTGTCTTACATGCTCACAGCAGCATGTCTGTGGATGTATTGGCAGTAGCAAGTCTCAGTACTTGCTCTGCAGCAGCATAGCAGATATATTCTGCCAAGACCAAACACATTAACATTACCATGTATATTGCCATTTTAATCTTTCCAAGAATTGTAACTGTTATTAATCCATCAGCAGTTTTTCATTCATATATTTGGCTGTAATATGAATATCCTAATATCTCTGACTGTGTTTTTTCTGAAATTGATCTGCTGATGTGATGTGACGGCAGTAATGTCTCATACTCATATGTGACTGTCTGTGTGTTTAATTGTAGGACTCTCAGTATTTAGACGTCAGTCCAGTTTCCTCAGGATCGGCTGAGGAGCCGCTACAGAGACACACAGTCACACAATCAACAGAGAGGGCAAATTCCAAACAGCATTTTTACACCCTTGAAGGGTGCTTCATGAAGGGGATTCCATTTGTAGGGACAATGAAAGTGAACACCTGAATCCCTTCATGAAGGGCCTTTCCACATGTCCATTAGCGAAAGGGTACATGTAATAATCACTTCATGGAAGTAATTTAATCATTTATGGACATTCATTTTAAAGTTAGATATTGCTGGATAGTTTGAGTTAACGTATAAACAGAATAATTCAAGTTGTTTTGTTGCTATATATTATGTACATTTTCATCATGCATTTCAAGTTTAAATAACTTTCATAGATAAGAAATATGTTTCATATTTACATTAGCTATGTTAGGTAAATGTGACTGTACTTGCAGGGTTCAAAGAAGAGATGACAAGTTTTATAAAGTTAAAGGGATAGTTCACCCAAAAAAGAAAATGTGATGTTTATCTGCTTACCCCCAGGGCATCCAGGATTTAGGTGACTTTGTTTCTTCAGTAGAACACATATGATGATTTTTAACTCCAGCCGTTGCAGTCTATTAGTCGTATAATGCATGGCAATGGTAACAAAATCTATGAGAGTAAAAACAACATGCACAGACAAATCCAAATTAAACCCTGCGGCTCGTGACGACACTTTGATGTCCTAAGACACGAAACGATCGGTTTGTGCGAGAAACCGAACAGTATTTATATCATATTTTACCTCTAATACACCACTATGTCCAACTGCTTTGAGCTCGCACAGGCATCCGGTGCGTGAGGCGTGTACGTGCTCTGGCGTAGTTTGCGCAAGCGCCGGAAGTGATCTCTCACGCGTATACGTCACTCATTGTTTACACAGTGCACAAACATTGTAGGTACGACGGCGAATCCAGAGAGGGAGCACACACATCTAAAGCATATTTTAAAAACTTGTATTATAAAATTTATATTTATTTGTAATGTAGTAATAGCAATGATAAGAAATTCCTTTTGTTGCTGCCTAGCAAGAAAATTAGGTAATGGACCCTTTCCACAAGACTGTGATGACGCGTTTCAATGGTAATCAGCATCGTAAATCCTCCAAAGTTTTTTATATTTAATTTTTTTTAAATGTATGTACATTTATAACACTATACTTTGCATTATATTACCTTTGCATCAAATTACAAAAAAAAAAAAGTTAACGCTAATGCCAGGGTGTTTCTAATACAGCGTCTATGGGAGTGACGGTAAATTTGATACCGTTCCCTCTTTTGACTGCTGTTATGTCTCTCTGTATTTTTTCCCCCCCTTTTTTTAAAAGTTGTGAAAACACTGTCGTGGAGTTTTTCTTTTGCTATTTGAGCAAATGTGAATGCAAAAAATATATTTGTGGTAGTCTCCCATTCATCGCTATGAAGTTGTTTCTGTGTCTGTATGAAGGAACAGCAAAGCAGGGAAACCCAACACTCCTGAATGAGATCTACACAGAGCTCTACATCACAGAGAGTGAGAGTGGAGAGATCAGTAATGAGCACGAGGTGAGACAGATTGAGACACAATCCAGGAGAGCAGCAACAGAGGACACACCGATCAAATGCAGTGACATCTTTAGAGCTTTACCTGGACAAGACAAAGCCATCAGTACTGTGCTGACAAAGGGAGTCGCTGGCATTGAAAAAACAGTCTCTGTGCAGAAGTTCATCCTGGACTGGGCTGAAGGGAAAGAGAATCAGGACGTCCAGCTCATATTTCCTCTTCCTTTCAGAGAGCTCAATCTGATGAAGGACAAAACACTCTCTTTCAGATCATCTTCAGGTCTTTTTCCCTGAAACAAAAGAAATGGACATATCCAGTGACAAATACAAAGTTTTGTTCATCTTTGATGAGTACAAATGGACATCTGGACCTTTTCCTGCGGTTTCTTCTACACACCCATAAAAGACCTGTCATCACAACAGTCAATCATTGGTGATTATTTGTTATAATAAAAGTATTATATTGTATTATTATGACTGTATGTGCTGTTAATATACATGTCATGTTTAAACCCCATTCAGGTGCTCTTCTATAAACCATGGGTAAAAAGAAGGGGAAAGGCAGAAGTCCTCGAGCAGACAGCAGCGCTGAGACAGCAGGTACATGTGTGACAGCTGCCCTGAGCAATGAGATGCTGCTGACAGTGATTTTAATCATGAAACCTCCCACGATTCTCCTGCTGCTTTGTAAGGGGTTTACTGCACTCACATACGTAAATGAACTTGCCAGTTTGTGATTGCTGTGACCGAGCCAATGCGAGTAGTTGTGGGCGATACATGTAGCCACGCCTCTAGAGGCAAGAGGCAGTGCAGAGTTTGACCCATAGTCTAGGCCAGGGGTCACCAAACTCGGCCCTGGAGGGCCAGTGTCCTGCAGAGTTTAGTTTAAAAAAAAAGCCACTTAAACAAGCACATCCAAACACATAGTAATGAGGAGCCTCACACATGGGGTCACTATCATCTGTGCAGTCGCTCAAATAAATAATCTTAGATTCTGATAAAGCAAAAGTTTTTAGGTTGTTGTTCAAATAAAGCTGTGTTTTAAATGTATTGTTTAAATAAAGTAGCTATGAAATGTCACAAGATTGTAGAGCTGTCTTTCTTTCATTTTGTGGGAGCAGCAGGACTATTGCAGCCTACTTTAATCTAACATTTACATATTTGTATTCTTGCATTTATTTAACAACATGCTTTAATGAAAAGCCTCCTAGTTAAGACGTGAACAAAGAATTACAAAAATAAACAGTGATATAAAACTTGATTTTTAAATAATGATTTACTGTATGTGAATCGAAACTATCAAACTAAAAACAAAAGGACTCAAAAAGATGAGCTAAACAAAGACAGAAATGGTTCATCTGTTCCGTGCTGATAAATTAGTAGGCTAGGGTTCGAACACTTCAAGCATCATCGCTCGCTGCACAAATAGAAAGTGAAATAAATGTTCAGAGTTGATGTTTCGCCTTTTAAGAATCGATTCTTTACAATACGGAGTATCATAGTGTACCTTTATAATGAATTTACCTGTAGCTACTTGAGAGAAAATGAGAGGATTTGTATAGCCTAAATCTGTATGTTATCAAATGTTAGTCAAGGTGAGTGCTGCTGAGTTCTCGAAACAGCTATTACAGGTGACTTCCGCTTTAATATGTTTCTCTGACGGACTTATTAGTCCTTTGAGATTTTTTATGTGTATTTTATGTGTTGTTTCATTACCATTTCGTGATGTCTGTGGTTCATTTTAGCATTTGTGTTAATATACGACTGACTTTATGTATTTGAGTGAACACCGTGTCTCATGCTCCTGTTCCTCTGACTCTCAGGATCCGTTCAGCAGAATGGGCCTCATTTACGAAACGAACGTACGACAGAAAATTGGGCGTACGGCCGTTTCAACGCAAAACGTGGAATTGATCAATATGGACGTGAGCGGTGGCTACGATCAAATCTCACGTCTGGTCTCAGCTCGTGTACGCAAGTTTTTGAGTTACCTAAACTTGCGCACAGCAATAGTAAATACGGTGGAGAATTGTAGATTGACAGCATTTTGCTCATTTTTATATTCCTGACCGTCAAACGAAGCTCATTAGTCGATCATTAACCAGTCAGATTAGAATGTCTTTTTTGTTGTTGTGTTAGATTGATAAATGAGGCCTAATGTGTTTGTTTGTCATTTCCATCCAGAGTCATTGGAGATGAGATTCTGTTTCAGCTGTTCATCTCTATCATGGATGACACACAAGCATCTAGAGATGAAGATTTTTCTCCACGATGCAGGTACTTAAATGGTAGTAGAATATGGCAGTCTCTATCATGTTTTGTGTGCGTTTTGTTTTAGGTTAAAAGTATGGAGCCAGATCGGCCTCAAAAATAACACATTTGC